GTGAAAGGCATGGTTTGCTGACAGAGGCAACAATCCTCAAATGACCCATGGGCCGTTCTTGGATTATTTGAGGGTTGCTGCCTCCCCCTAGAGAAGCCCTGCTGCCTCGTTTGAATTACATGACAAGCTGAGGGTAATGGGGGACATCAGGTTGGCATGCACCCAACTCATGGAGCAAGATTAACAAGCCGCTATGGCTTATTCCCCATTGCTGCAATCAGGCAAATCAGCCCATTACAGCACTCATGTTTTGTATATTAATTAGATCACACTCCATCTGCTCAGAAAAGAAAGATCCCTTTCAAGGAACATTCCTAGACACTAGTTTCTCAAACTACAGATTTCATTTTTTAAGGAACAGTTTGATTTCTGAAGTCATCTTTGTTCCTTTAAATGGTGACAGGAAGCAGCTAAGAAACTGGTGTGGGCATACAGCTTTGGTTTTTATTCAGCCCCCAGGGCCTACCAATCAGTCCTTTTATCAGCTACAAACAAAAGAAAAAGGAAAAAACCAGAAAGCAAGCAAATAAAACAGACAGGCCAAAGAAGAGAAAGAGAGAAAAAGAGAGAGAGAGAGCATAGAATTTATACATGAGAAAGACCTGGGAGGTCATCTAATCTGTTTCTCTGCCACTCCAGGATTGCTTTTTAAGAAGAACCTTGATTGCAAATGTTTCAGAAATGTGAACTTACAAAAAGAGCTACTAATAGTATGTCACTACGAATTAGCACTATGATTATGAATTTTTATTTTTTTATTTTTTTACAATACCTAGAAACATGCCTCTGCATTATACTAGTAGGTAGTCAGACACTCAGTTGCATTGGCATTCTAAAGCCCACGTCTGCCCGTTGGTGTCTGGGTTATGCAAAGAGTTTTACCTGCTATTTTGTGCATAACTCTATGCAGGGCCTGGTCACCTCTTTTCCACCCCAATAAGTTTCTCCTTTCTCATCACTTCTCCCTCCCATGTTCACACTCAAAAAACTTTTTTGAAAAATTATTTTCTTCCCCACTTTTTGTGGCTTCTTTTTGGCACTCTTCTTAGACCTTGCTCCCTTTCCCATGTTCCTCTTTGCTTTCCCTTGCCTTCAGCTATTGGGTGGTATAGAAATGTAATGCATACATACATACGCACTTTCAACCCTCCTTTTAGCCTGTTTTCTCCTTTTTTTCCTCCTCCTGTATTTCATTAATATGCTTAGGGTGTAATCTCTTGCATGTTTAGACAGCACGGATGCATGGGGAATGCTGGGAGGTGTGAGAATTTTTTCGGTCTAAGCCCCCATAGGAGTGCACCTTTATTTCCTCCTATGCTTGATCAAGCCAAGCAATTCCAGAAGCTCTTTTAATGATGCTGTATCTCCACCCGGAATATGTGGGACCTGCTACAAAATGTTACAGTACAGCCTGCATCTGTTGAGGAACCTCCATTCTGATCCTCTCTCTACCCAGATTTATGTTTGTTTTCCCTGACAGTCATCATTCTGTGGCCACAGATCATGCAGAGTATTCACTTGCCTGTTTGGTGAGGTTCCCCTATGACATCCTAATTCACTCCTCTTTAACTGAGTTATTTATTTATTTATTAAAACATTTCTATGCCGCCCCATTCGCCGAAGCCTCGGGGCGGCTCACAACATAAATTAAAATACAAGAAATAACAATATAAAATAAGTCGCCCTGGCCAGATAAAATAAGCAAATAATATTAACAATTAAAATGACGCTTAAATAAAAAGGTCTTCGCCTGGCGCCGAAAAACAAATAACGATGGCGCCAGGCGAACCTCTCTGGGGAGCACATTCCATAGATTGGGCACCACCGCAGAGAAAGCCCTCCTCCGAGTACCTACCCTCCTAATTTCTTTCACGGAGGGTTCCCGGAGAAGGGCCTCTCCCACAGATCTCAAGG